CGTCGGCTTAACCGTCTGATCTAACTACTGTCGAGTCCTCTTATTACTTCCGCTATCGTAGGCAGCCTTCGGGAGTGCTTTAGCCTTCGTTTCTTTTTGACGCGGACTATCTCTTCTTTCCTGGTCGTCGTCGTCGTCAGGAAGAGAGGAAGAGACGTAGGAAGAGAGAGATTGTGTGTCTATGTTAGGCATTTTGAGAGTTTCGACTTGGTAGGAATATATAGGATAAGAAAAAAGCAAGAGAGGATAAGTTGGTAGGTATAAGGAAGACCCGGAAATCGCCAAGCCGCTTATCTCTCGAGTATGTCGGATCGCGCGGGAAGGTAATTAGTAATCAGGACAGGGGTTCTATATATATCTACACTAGTATATTTCATATTATGTCATATGGTTTATACGCCGACCACGTCTGCCGAACACGTTCTACTCTAGCTACGAGATTTCACTTTTTTACTAGAAAGTACTACGATACCTTAAGAAGCTAGTAGTCCAACTATTTCTCTAGATAATGTAGTATTTATATATAATACCCTATAGCAGTTGTCCTAGTAATGGCGAATGAAGCGACAACAACTTATATTCGAAATAAAATTTAGGTAGGGGGGGGGGCACTTAGGAAATCGACGATAATAGTAGTAGCAGAGGAGCGTCAGTATAGGCGCGGAAGTGTGATGTTGTTATAGAGGGTGGTGTCGGTGCTCGGGGTCACGGGACAGGGTTCCGGCTGCTGCCTAAACCTTAAATCTCTCAGATAAGAGAAATTTTATTTCTCAAAGCGCTTCTACCCTACGTATCTACCTCCGCACGTACCACCGCACGCACTACCGCACCTACCTCCGCACCTACATCCCTACCTACGTCCGCACCTACCTCCGTACCGATACCACTATGCCGAAACGGAAGAATGTCACGCCAGAGGCGCTGGAAAATAAGCGTACCAGGCTCGGGGCAGCTGCGAAGTCACTTAAAGAATACTCTCTGAAGCCGAATACCCTACGGGACCGCGAGCGTACTGCCGCTATAGACGAAGAGAAGAGAGCTCAGGATCGACATAGAAAGGCTTGTAATGAATCGTTCGTACGGTTTAAGAAGGCTCAGATCAAGCAGTCTAGCGAGTTTAGCGAGCTGAGTAGGGACCGTCAAGCTGCCCTGGTTAAGGAATAGAGATCGATGTATACAGCAGAATATGACCGGAAAGCGTAAGTTTCGTAGTCGGCGTCTATAGTCGGTATCTACGGTCGGTATTCCTACTTCCTGTTAAAGGCTAACTTCTCTAGTGCTAAGAAGCAAGTAGAGACTGATCTAGCTCTCTTACCCGACGAATAGGCCGAAATCGATAAAGCTGACTGGTTCCTTAAGCTTAGAGATAGTGAAAGCAAATTAAAGATAACATTTCAAAAGGAGGATCAGGTTGAGTAGGAATAGGATACCCTCACCCTTAGTAAACGATACGATAAAGCACTTAGGGGCCTTAGCAACGAATGCCTTCCTTAAGAAACGATTCTTAATCCTTTGTTATCAAAAGAGATTGATAAGGAGACAGCGAACTCTATTGGAACTTTTGCCTTTCAGGCAGCCTCTTCCACTTTTGCGACTGCTTATAACCAATAGCATCGCTCGATCCGGAAGTTCTGGAACAAACTTGTTGCTCTAGAGAGTCTGGTTCTCCCTAACGAGGCAGCTATAAAGCAGATTTCACAAATTGTCGATAGCGAGACTAAAAAGGTAAGCTCATCTGCCGACCACACCTACCGACCATTTTCTAATAATCCTAGATCTGCGTTAGAGAAGTACGACTCCTACTGCTATACGAGATTTTCAGCCTAATCGAGCGCGCAGTCTGCCGTAGTATCCTTGCCTAGGATATCGCAGCCTAAAGGGCTTATTCAAGTGGTCTTCCTAGACCCTCCTAGCTGATACCAGAAAATTATAACTACTCCGCTAATAGTTTCCTTCTATCAGTGAGCTTGAAAGGGGAGAAGCACCTCGCGAAGATGGTATACAAGCTCTGTAAGAGGGAGAATACTCTAAGCCGCGAACAGACTCTCTAGCCTAAGATAATGGCTGCCCTTATCGAGTGCAATATCAAAGAGTATAATAGGATTACTCTAGAGGCCTTTCTACTCCTACTACTGCGAGAAGATGAACTATACCTAGTATCTTCGGGAATCGAGAAGGTACTTACGAAGGACTCTATATTCGCAACTTTGTTAGAGGGTTCGAGATTTCAGACTCGGAGGACTAGGAGCCTCGCCTATTTCAAGAAGACGAAGAGGGATAGAAGAAAGGGTAGGAGGGTTGGTAGTAAGAATCAGACTATCTGATAGGTTGGCTCGCAGCCGGAAGTAGGCCTGCGAATTCTATTCGCTCAACCCCTGTAGGGTAGCGTACTAGGATTCTGAAATTCCTACTTTCCCTCCTTTCAATTCCTACGTTCCCTCTCCTCTATCCTCTCGTAACGGATTCACGACGTCGGAGTCTGAAATACTATGTTTTCGTCTTCCTTTGCTTCCTCTCCAGGAGTCGGAAGCTCCCGATTCGAATCCTCCTC